CTCTTTTTCACTCACCCACTTCAGACTCATTGACTTCTTCTTCTGTTTTAATTCTCACCCTAGGATATGTTCTCTGATTTCAGAGAGAGAAAGGGGAGAGACTGAGAAACACTGATGTTAGAGAGAAAGATTGATCAGTTGCCTCCCGTACATGCCCTGATCAGAGATCAAACCCTCAGCGTAGGTATGTGCCTTGACTAGGAATTGGACACATAACGCTTTGGTGCTTGGGATGATGTTCCAACCAACTTAGCCACACGACCCGGACCACACTGGCTTCTTTGCTCTTATTTGAACAGAACAGCACACTCCTGCCTCAGGGCCTTTGCACTTGCTGTTTTCTCTACCTGACCTGCTTTCCCCATGGACAACTGCATGGCCAGCTCTCCTACCTCCTATACATCTTTGAAAAGTTACCTTCCTGATGAGAGCCTCGATAATCAATCTATATAAAACATTCTTTATCTTTTTTCCATGATTTTTTGTTTGAGTATTTAGTGCTTTCCAACACACTATCTAATAAAGAGGGAGTATGCTAATTGACCATCACACCCTCACAAATAAGGAAAAGCCCACAGCCAATAAAGAGGGAATATGCTAATTGACTGCAACACCCTCAGAAGCTGGCGGCGCGTGCAGCCACAAGATGGCAACGCCTAGCCCCCTCAGGCCTGGCTCATCCAGCCTCAGACCCCCAGTCCCCTCAGCTCCACCTCATCCAGCTGGAGTCCTCCAGTTCCTTCAGCCCCACAGGGGAAGGCAGTTGGGGACGATTGGGCCAGAAGGGGAGGGCCATTGAGGACAATCATGCCAGTAGGGGAGCATTTAGGCATCAAGCAGGTCAGCAGGGGAGTAGTTAGGGTGCTATCAGGCCGACAGGCAGAGTGGTTAAGAGCAATCAGGCAGGCAGGCAGGCAGGCAGGCAAGTGGTTAGGAGCCAGCAGTCCTGGATTGTGAGAGGGGTGTCCAACTGCTGGTTTAGGACATCCCCCAAGGGGTCCCAGATTGGAGAGGTTGCAGGCTGGGCTGAGGGACACCCCTTCCCTCACCCTGGGCACGAATTTTGTGTACTGGGCCTCTAGTACTATATAATTCTCTTATTCATTTTGCTTGTTTCCCTCCAACCCACACTACAATATATGCCAAGGATTTTTATGTATTTTAACCAGTGCTGTATCCTTGGTGCTGAGATCAGTGGCTGGTAGATAGTGTGTGCTCAATAACTATTTGTTGACTGAGTGACTGTCTTATTGTATAAATGACTGATAAGCTATAGTTCTCCTTTTGTGAATGAACTGTCATATCCTTTGGCTACCTTTTTATTAGGTGCTCTAAGTTCTTATTGATTTGTATAAACTCCTTATATTTTGAGGATATCAATTTTATGGCACATATTCCCACTCAGTTTTTTCTCCTTTTACCATTATATATAGGTGGTGTTGTGTTAAAAGTACTTAAACTTTTACAGTCAAATCTAGAAATATTTTTCTTTTTGATACTGTGTTTTATAAGGACAAGTTAACAAAAGAAAAAGTTTACTTCTAAATAATTTTAGTCAAAAGGTGAGCAGTGCCTAATTTTTTCTTACATTTATTATATTTGAATTTCTACTATTTGCAGATACTGATTTAAACTTGTTAATATGTAGCCCTAACCTGTTTGGCTCAGTGGATAGAGCATTGGCTTGCAGGCTGAAGGGACCCAGGTTTGATTCCGGTCCAAGGGCAGCTGATTGATGTTCCTCTCTCATTGATGTTTCTAACTCTCTATCCCTCTCCCTTCCTCTCTGTAAAAAAAAAAAAAAAAAAAAAAACAAAACAAAAAAAAAAAACCATAAAATATGTTAAAAGAAAATTAAATTAGAAAAATAAACTTGTTAATATGTAATCATATTTATACAATTATTTTTCTCCTGGGTGGTTTATCTGGTAACCAAGAAGGGTAAACTGTTGCTAAAACCTTTCCTTTTACTTTAAGGAAAATAATTTGATGTACAAAATGATTAAAATTATAAAACATTTATGTTTATAATATTTGCATATAAAGTTTTAAATATATTCTCCATTCAAACAAAAGGTTACTAGCCTATGAATCTAAATCGTTAGGCTTTTGTGTCACTGGTACATTTGTGATAATTGAGCCCACATATAAGTTCTCTTCTGTGTTTGACAGTAAGTCCTTTCAAAACTGAACTTGGTTGCATACATTTAGATATCCCACTCCTTCCCTGAATTTTAAATATTAAACATGTCTGTCTATTGTTTAATGTGACATTTTGAATTTTTACAAATATTTCATGAACCAAATTTTAAATGTGTAATATTTAAAATTAAGAATACTATCAGAAAAATATAGAAATATGATTATGATTCTGCTTTTAGGAAACAGAATGCTAGTTTTTTTTTTTTAGTATTGTTTGCTTCTTGTTGTTTAAAAGCAGTGATTCTACTTCATTATCCACTTATGCCTTTTTAAAAACGTCTTTTTTTTAATTTTTGAGAAAAAGGGAGAGGGAGAGAGATAGAAATATTAATGATGAGAGGGAATCATTGATTGGCTGCTTCCTACATGGCCCACAGGAGGATTGACCCTGAAACCCGGACTTATGCATCCACTGAGCAAAGCTGGCCAGGCTAATTATGCCTTTTTGTTATAACTGATTGAATGGTGTATTGACAGATACAAAAGTTAACTAAATCCTTTGCAATTTAAAAAAATAATACCATGAAAAAATCCTTTCAATCATATGGTGGATCATGAAGTACTTTAACGTATTTTTCCTTTTAATATCTTTCAAGGTATTAAAAAACTGTTTAAAATAATTTGTTCTGGGTGGGGTTATTTTCCCCTTCCATTTACAATAAAACAAGTTATTTAAATTCTTTAACCTATGCATTATTCTTTTTTTTTTTAAAAAAATATATATATTTGTATTGATTTCAGAGAGGAAAGGAAAGGGAGAGATAGAAACATTAATGATGAGAGGGAATCATTGGTCAGCTGCTTCCTACACTCCCGGCACTGGGGATGGAGCCTGTAACCCGAGCACGTGCTCTTGACTGGAATCAAACCCTGGACCTTTCACTCCACAGGCCGTTCTATCCACTGAGCAGGACCAGCCAGGGCATCTATGCATTACTTTAAATTCAAGTATTTAATAAGAACTACTTAATAAAATAATGGAAACCAAATCTACACAAGTAAATCATCCTATCCCTTTTTACTAGGTCATGTGCATGGCATACACAGGGGTCAGCTTATGCTGTGCAAATCAACGTGGACTTAGAATTCCTGGTTTCTAACTATTCAGTAGCTGAGTGGCTGCTGTAGGGGAGGAAAAGTTATTTTCCTTCGATCCTAAATTCTTCTAGGCTGGACTAATAATCACATTAACATGAGACAAATTAACAGGAGAAAATGACCAAATTTATTATGTATGGACGTACATACCACTGTTCCAATAGACTATGAGAGTTAGACAGGTTGAAGGTTTTTCCTGAGTCATTTTTAAGAATAACCGGCTTAAAATAATATCTAAAAAAGGTCACATCTTGGATTGATAAATCCTACTTCCTCTCACTGGGGAGGGCCTTTGATGTTGCAGAATCTTTAAAATGGGCGGCAACTGCAAGGCCTGCCTCCTGGAGTTGCTGTGAATAAGCTGGTACCTCACTCCAGTTCCCAAGCTGGACGTGTGGGGAAGCCTGGGGACGGGAGAGCAGGTTGCACGCCTCCTCTCCGCCCGGCTAGGATGACTCTGGAGCCACATCCCTCCCTCCCATTCTCTCCAGACCATGGCGGACAGAGGGCCTAGTAGGGTATATGAAGAACTTCAGGCCAGAAGAGGCCCAGCCCTGCCACCTGCAGCTACTTTTCTCTCTCTAGGCCTCAGCTGCTCCAGGTGTAGGTTGAGCACGAAATAGTACTATCTAACAAAGTTGTTCTTAAGATTAGAGCTATTCAAGAGCGTTTAGCTATCATAGAACATTTTGTTTCCTAACTCCTTTCCCTCCTAAGGAAACCCCTCTTAAGGCCTGTTTACCATAGCAATGCAGAGGCTTGCAGAAACCTCCTTTCAACCAGAATCCTGCAAGGAAAAACTAGTGTTATTTAAATCAACCCAGTCAGAGAAAGGTGTAACGGACCGGCGCCGGACCACCCACCGGTGTCTCCGAGGAAACATTTGCAATTTAAAAGAGGATTACCTGCCTGGAAGGATTTCAGAAACTATGGAACTTTTTGGTATGGCGGTGAATCAAATTCCTTCAACTCTCCCCCCCACTGAAACCCTGCCTTGTCGGTTTAAAGCGGATTGTGGGAGGAGGACTTTTAAAAAGCACCTTTAATTAATCAATTCGAACTACAGACCTAGCTCACCCCCCCCCCCCCCTTTCTCACCCCCCCATCTTTTGCACCGGCGGCTCCTGCGGTCACAGTGACCTTGGCTGTGCTAATCTGGGAAGGAATCCTCTCGCTGGAGAAGGGCGGCAGGGAAAGACCCGACGCTCAACGGAACTAACAGGATGTTTTCATTTGAATAAACTCAGCCCAGCGGTTACCTCCCGGCGCAGCTCTGCTAACTTTCCAGCCTCCGGGAGGGACGAGCTGCGGGAGGTCAGCCCGGGGCGGGACCGCCGCCGGACGCCCGCGGGTCTGGGGGCCCCCTGGCTGGGCCATCCCCACCGCCACCCCGGGACCCTGAGAGCCCGGGAGCCCGGGAGGGGGCGGCGGGCCGATCGCAGAGGAGCGGGCAGTTTCCGGGGGGCTGGGCACACGACCCCCAACCCAGCCCCACCCCTGCCCCACCCCTCGCAGCCACCGCACCGAGCTCCCCGGCTTCTGCTCCGCGGCAGCGGCGGCCCGTCCCCACCTGGGGCGACGCTGGGCGCGGGGCGCGGGGCGCGGCCGGAGCCGCCCCGGGAGGGCGGGGGCGGGGCGGACCCGGGGGCGGGGTCGCCGGGCGCCCGGAGGCCGGGCCGCGCGGGGAGGGAGCCGGCGGGCGGGAGGGAGGCGGCCGAGGGGCCGGAGCGGCGGGCGCAGCGGCGGCAGGACGGCCCGCGGGCGGCTCGGGGCCGCGCGCCGAGAACCTCGCGGGGCGGCGGGCGCCGCACCCCCGGCCTGGCCGCCTGCGCCCCGGGGCGGCGGCCGGCGCGCGCCTGGGCCAGCAGCATGAGCAGCGGCTACAGCAGCCTGGAGGAGGACGCCGAGGACTTCTTCTTCACCGCCAGGACCTCCTTCTTCAAGAGGGCGCCCCCGGGCAAGCCCCGCGCCGGCCAGCCGGTGAGTGCGCTGCCCCGGCCCGGCGCCCCCCGGGGGAGAGTGGGGGATCCCCGCGACCCCGGACGCCACGTGTGTGCGCCGGGCGGGGATGCTCGCCGGGCGCGAGGCGGGGGCCGCGGGGAAGCGGCTCCTGCCTTTTTGGGATCGCGGGGCTCTGGCCGCAGTGTGTGCTCCTGGGCGTGCGCCGGGGGCGCCCGGGGCCAGGGCAGGAGGAAGCGCGGGGAGGCCCGGCCGGCTCCTGCCTTCCGCGCCAGATGGCCTCCGCGCCCCGCCTCGGGCGGCCGCCGGCTGCCGGGGAGCCGGGCTGGGCGGGGGGCGCCCCCGGGCCGCTCCCGGAGTTCCCCCTGCGCCCCGGGCGCCCCCGCGGAGTCAGCGGCCAGGTCCTGGCGCCGGGCCTCCGGCTGGTCATCGCGGTGGCCCGCGGCCCCCGGAGCGGCTCGGGGGGCGGAGGAGTCGCTGGGGGGCGGGGAGGGGGGTGGCAGGGTGACCCCGGGGCTCGGGCCCCCGCGCCTCCTCGGGTGGGGAGGGCGCGCGGAGAGGAGCGCGGGGCCCGACGGCAGAAGGCGCTCACGAAAAATCCTGGCGTTGCGGGTGTCAGAGTTGGGCATTTCCTGCAAAGTCAAGCTGTGGCTGCCTCTGTTTTGCAAACCAGCTCCGGTGATAGGTAAATACATGCTAGCGGGCGAGAGACGGGCCCCGGGCCGGCTGCTTCCTTTTTTGGAGGCAGCGCGCCGTGGGAAGCAGGACTGGGGGAGAGACGGTGCGGGAGCTTGGGCCAGCTCCGCTGGCCGCGGCCCGGCTTCTGCAGAGAGGCTTTCCCCAAACGGGGCATTGGGGGCTGGACTTCTCAGCGTGGCGCGGGAGCCTCCCGGTCCTGGAGCCAACTCCAGGAAGCCCTGCCAGCCCAGCCAGGCTCACACCAGATTAGAGAAGGCTGACATGGAACAAGCTGGTTGCTCTTAAAACGACAGGCGTGCACCAGACACGGCTATCCAGCTCAGTCCTGGAGACTAGACACAAGGACGAGAGGACCGAGTATAATGCGCCAGGGTTTCCTCGGCCGGAGTTTTTTAAGGTTCTCCAACCACTTTCCGAGGACAGATTTCTTTCTTTCTTTCTTTTTTTTTTATGTCAGGAAGTGTTAGTCTTTTCAACCTCTTCACTCCCAAACCAGAAGAAAGGGGGGGAGGGGGACCCCCCTGAAGGGTAAGAGTGAGGTCATGTGCCCTTCCTTACTCAGCAGCAGGTGATCCTGAGCGAACGAAGCCTGGCGCAGGAAGCCCTCCCTCCCCTCCTTGTTTCTAAGGTTCAAGGCCGCACGGTTTGCTAGTCGCTTTGAGTGATGTCTGTCTGGGCTGCTGTAACCAATGCCACGGACTAGGCACTTAAGTAAATATTTGCTTCTCCCGGTTCTGAAGGCCTGGGTGCCTCCGCGGTTGGCTTCTCAGGGAGGACTCCTTCCTGGACTTCCTGTCTTGTAGACAGCTGACTTCTTAGGGTCCCCTCACTTGGAGCAAGGGCCCTCTCTCTTCCTCTTATGAGGACACTAATGTGGTCGTGGGGGCCACCCTCATGGCCTGAGTACCTCCCAAAGGCCCCCCTCTCCAAATACGATCACATTAGGGCTCCCCCATAGGACAGTTGAGGGGCCACACACATTCTGTCATAGCAGGTGATCTCTTGCTTTCAGTAGGGTGTATTCTCATGGTGAGAGTTTGCTGTGAAGTTTTGAAATCAGAATTACCCTTCTTCCCCCTATTGGTTATGGAAGAATTGCATCTCCTTCTGCTTTTATTTCACTTTTTTTTTTTTTTTTTTTTAACTTTCTTACCCTCCTCTTTCTTTCCATTCTCCACGTTGTATTTTCTCCTTCCACTTAAGTTGCTTTCACCATTTGACACTTGGACTAGAGCTTGTCAGAGACGGTGCTGGTTTCAAGTCCATGCCGGAGGGAGCTAGTACTCTCCAGAAAACTGGCTGGCTCTTGGGTTCTGCAGGTGGGAGATGCTCCTTCAGAAGGGCCAGAGTATGTAGGTTGGAATGGTGTGTGAATATGCGTTGGCCCTTTAAAAGTAAAAATATCTTTCCCTGGCTGGTATGACTGAGTTGGTTGTCCCATGCACTGAATGCTCCCTGGTTTCATTTCTGGTCAGGAAACTCTTTGGATTTTGAGCTTGAGTCCCAGAAGGGGGTGTGCACCAGGCAGCCAATCTATGTCTCTATCTCTCCCTCTTCTCATAAAATCAATAAAAACATATATATATTTAAAAAAAAAACTTTTTTTCTGGACTTATAAGTCCGATATAATATTTGTGTTATACTCATTAATTTATGTAATATTCCCCTAGCAAATATGTTATATTCATGTAATGTTACTTATATAGCATTTAGAATTAGTCCATCAATACGTGCATTTTGCTGAAAATCAGGACAGTAAGACCTAATTCTTTGCTTGAGTTTAATATGCATATTCTGAAGCTATATTGCTTGTGTAATTCATTTCCCCTTTTAACAATAACACAGGCAATGTGTGCTGAGTTATAGGACTTATTTGCCAGCTGTAGAAAATGTTCTAAACTCTGAATTTTAGTATGTACTTTAGTTTAAAGAATTGGTTGTCTGTTAAATTCCTGATAAGATCTGGAAGTATGGAAGTAAACTTTATAAAGCAAGGCACTCCATATAGAACATTTTTATTTTATTTTATTTTATTTTATTTTATTTTTTTTACCTAAGGTTAGCTAAGCCTTTTTCATTTTAGCTAACTTGGAATTACAGGAATAAGGTAAGTATTCTGACAAAGTGTATAGGGAAATTTTTTCTTTTCTCTAGAGAGCTGGAAAGAGAGATGGTTGCTATAGGAATCTATTGTCAATAATAATAATAATTATTATTATTAATTTTTTTGGTGCTGAATCACTTGGTGTAAAAAGCCATAACATGTAGTTTTAGAACTCCTGAAGATATCCAGAGAAAGCAAGATGTTTGTGGTAAATGCAGGATGGGGAGAGGGGGAGAGGGGGCGAAATGTCTTTCTTCTCTTGCCAGGCAAAGGAACATAGCCCACTTTTTTTTTGTCTCCAACAATAACAAAAAGTTTACAGATATAAAGCAACTGCTTACCATTTTATTTCTTATTTTATGTTGGTACCCGTCTTTTTTTTTTTTTTTTTCCTGTTAATGGAAAAGGATTAAAAACCAGTAGGAAGGATGTAAAGGGAATGAACGTATAACCTGTTTGTGGCAGTTTGAATGCCACATTTATTTACTGTATTCAGAGTCCCAGTCAGCACCTGACACACAGTGGTTGGTCATTGAATGCATTATTAGCTGAACGAATGAGTGCTTTTCTGGTTTGATGATAATGGGCTCTTCGAGGGTTTAAAGATCCTATCTTAAGATTCTCCCAAGGATCCTCTGGAGCCGGAGTCAGGCAAACTGTGGCTTGAGAGCCCCATGTGGCTCTTTGGTCCCTTGAGGGTGGCTCTTCCACAAAATACCATGGCCTGGGCGAGTCTATTTTGAAGAAGTGGCATTAGAAGAAGTTTAAGTTTAAAAAATTTGGCTCTCAAAAGAAATTTCAATCGTTGTACTGCTGATATTTGGCTCTGTTGACTAATGAGTTTGCAGACCACTGTTTTACAACTTCAAAAGTTTTTTTGGCTATACTAATTTTTTAATCCCTAGATTATAATAAATTTTTTTTTCCATTTGTAATTTTGCTTATTTGGGTCCTCTCTTGTTTTTTTTTTTTTTAATATATTTTATTGATTTTTTTACAGAGAGGAAGGGAGAGGGATAGAGAGTTAGAAACCGATAAGAGAGAGTCATCCATCAGCTGCCTCTTGCACACCCTACAGGGGATGTGCCAGCCACCAAAGTACATGCCTTTGACCCAAATAGATGGTTTATTTGAGATTTTTTGTTTGGTTTCTTGAGGTAGGCTATGAATTTTTCTCTTGGAACTGCTTTGGCTGTTGTGTTTTCATTTTTATTTGTCTCAAGGTATGTTTTTATTGCTTTCTTGATCTTGTTGTTAATCTCTTGATTGTATAGTAGCATATTATTTAGCCTCCATGTGTATGTGCTTTTCAGGTTTTTTTCCTTGGAATTGATTTCTAGTTTTATACCATTGTGATTGGAGAATATGCTTGATATGATTTCAGTCCTCTTTAAATTTGTTGAGACTTGTTTTGTGGCCTAACATGTGGTCTGTTCTGGAAAATGTTCCATGTGTGGTTAAGAAGAATGTATATTCTGCTGCTTTGGAGTGAAATGTTCTAAAAATAGAAATGAAATCTGATCTAATGTGTCATTTAAGGCCACTGTTTCCCTGTTGATTTTCTGTCTGGATCATCTGCCTATTGATGTCAGTGGGGTGTTAAAAGTTCCCTACCAAGACTATTACTACCGATCTCTCCCTTTTGGCCCGTCAGCATTTGGTTTATATATTAGATAATCCTATGTTGGGTTCGTAAATGTTATAGCCTCTTGTTGGGCTGATCCCTTTATCATTATAAAATGTCATTCTTTGTCTCTTGTTAAATATAGTCTTCGTTGTTGTTTGTTTTTTAAGTATATTTTTATTGGTTTCTGAAAGGAAGGGAGGAGAGAGAGAAACATCAATGATGAGAGTGAATCATTGACCAACTGCCTCTTGTACGCCCCATGCTGGGACCCAGCCCACAGCCCGGGCATATGCCTTTGACTGGAATCAAACCCGGGACCTCCTGATTTCATAGGTCAAAGCTCAACCACCAACCCATGCTGGCTGGGCTAGCCTTTGTTTTAAAGTCTGTTTAGTCTGATAGAAGTATTGCTACGCCAGCTTTTTTTCCTTTTCTGTTCCCATTTGCATGAAATACCTTCTTCTATCCATTTACTTTTAGTCTGTGTGTTGTATCTTCCGATCTCAAGTGGGTTAATTCCTATGTTATTGAATGTAAACATTCCCACCAGTCCTTTGCCTGGTGCTTGGTGATGTACACATCTCGTCTTCA